TTACTCTTGACCTGACCCCTGTGTCTTACTCCTGACCTGACATTTGCTCTCTCTGCATGACCTACTCCTGTCCTGACCTCTGCTCTCTCTTAGTTACTTGCTTATGACCTGACCCCTGCTCTCTCTGTGTGACCTACTCCTGACTTGACTTCTCCTCTCTCTGTGTTACTTGCTCCTGACCTCTGCTCTGTTTGAGGTAGTTAGACTTGGCCTGACCTTTGCAATACTTACTCCTGACCTCTACATTCTCTGTGTAACTTGCTCCTTACCTGACCACTGCTCTCATAGTGATGCTTACCCTTGAGCTGACCTCTGCAATACTTACTCCTAACATCTGGATGCACGTCTGATCTGACCTCTACTTTCTCTGGATAACTTGCTTTTTACCTGACCTCTGCTCTCTCTGCGATATGTACTCTTGACCTGACCTCTGCGATACTTATTCCTGACCTGACCTCTGCTTTCTCTGCATGACGTACACCTGACCTAACCTCTGCTCTCTCTGTGCTACTTGCTCCTGCCCTGTCCTCTGCTCTGTCTGCAATGCTTACACTAGACCTGCGTTCTGTGTGACTTACTCCTGACTTGACATTTGCCCTTTCTGCCTGACCTACTCCTGTCCTGACCTCTGCTCTCTCTGGGTTACTTGCTCCTGACCTGTCCTCTGCTCTCTCTGTGTGACCTATTAGACTTCTCCCATCTCTGTGTTCCTTGCTCCTGACCTCTGCTCTGTCTGAGATACTTAGACTTTACCTGACCTCTGCAATACTTACTCCTGACATCTACTTTCTCTGTGTAACTTGCTACTTTTGACCACTGCTCTCATAGCAATACTTACCCTTAACCTGACCTCCACAATACTTACTCCTAAAATCTACTGGATGTACTTCTAAACTGACCTCTACAATATTTACTCCTAACATCTACTGGATGTACTTCTGACCTGACCTCTACTTTCTCTGTATACCTTGCTCTTTACCCAACTTCTGCTCTCTCTGCGTTACTTGCTCCTTATCTGACTTCTGCACTTTCTGCATTACTTATTGCTGCCCTGTCCTCTGCTCTGTCTGCAATATTTACTCTTGACCCTGCCTCCTTGTGACTTACTCCTGGCCTGACATTTGCTCTCTCTGCATGCCTTACTCCTGTCCTGACCTCTGCTCTCTCTGGGTTACTTGCTCCTGACCTGTCCTCTGCTCTCTCTGTGTGACCTGCTCCTGACATGACTTCTCCTTCTCTGTGTTACTTGCTCCTGACCTCTGCTCTGTCTGAGATACTTAGACTTGACCTGACCTCTGCAATACTTACTCCTGACATCTACTTTCTCTGCGTAACTTGCTTCTTACTTGACCACTGCTCTCATAGCAATACTTACCCTTGACCTGACCTCTACAATGCTTACTCCTAACATCTACTGGATGTACTTCTGACCTGACCTCTACTTTCTCTGTATAACTTACTCTTTACCCAACTTCTGCTCTCTCTCTGCATTACTTGCTCCTTATCTGACTTCTGCACTTTCTGCATTACTTATTTATTGCTGCCCTGTCTCTTCTCTGTCTGCAATACTTACTCTTGACCTGGCCTCTGTGTGACTTACTCCTGGCCTGACATTTTTCTCTCTCTGCATGTCTTATTTCTGTCCTGACCTCTGCTCTCTCTGGGTTACTTGCTTCTGACCTGTTCTCTGCTCTCTCTTTGTGACCTACTCCTGACTTGACTTCTCCTCTCTCTGTGTTACTTGCTCCTGACCTCTGCTCTATCTGAGATAGTTTTTCCTGACATGAACTCTGCTTTCTCTGTGTGACTTACTCCTGACCCGACCTCTGCGATCTTTGCAATACTTATTCTTGACCTGACTTCTCCTTTTTCTATGTTACTTTCTCCTGACCTCTGCTCTCTCTGAGATACTTACACTTGACCTGACCTCTGCAATACTCACTCCTGACATCTACTAGACATACGTTTGACCTGACCTCTACTTTCTCTGTATAACTTGCTCTTTACCTGACCTCTGCTCTCTCTGTGATACTTACCCCTGACCTCTGCAATACTTATTTCTGACCTGAACTCTGCTTTCTCTGCATGACCTACTCCTGACCTGATCTCTGCGATGCTTACTCTTAACTTGACCTCTGCATGACTTACTCCTGTCCTGACCTCTGATCTCTCTGTGTAACCTTCTCCTGACTTGACCTGCTCTCTCTGGGTTATTTGCTCCTTATTTGACGTTTGCACTTTCTGCATCATTTATTGCTGACCTGACTTCTGCTCTCTCCATGACTTACTCTTGACCTCTGCTCTCTCTGGGTTACTTATCTCTGACCTGACCTCTGTGTGACTTACTCCTGATGTGAGCTCTACTACACTACTCCTTCCACTGTTACTACAATTTGGTCATACCCACAATGGTGTCTAAAGAATTTTGCCTTTATACCTTGAATGTCTGCCTCTTGTTCTAAAGGTCTGTGACCAATTGTTTCAGGGCTTGTTAAAAAAAAAAGGGGGTGATGACGCGAGTGGTTTAAAAGTGGAAAGGGTCAGTAGGATATCCTTTCTTTAATTTTGAAAAACTAGTAACCTTACTTTATACAGGACCTAAAGCTGGAAACTTTTATGCAATTTTAACCACTTTCGCTCAACTGGGAATCAAACAAAACCAAAAGTGGTTGCCTGAAACCAAACAATTAAACCCAGAAGCTTGGTCATCAACCTATATGAACTGGGCTATAAATTGACAGCTTTCATACAGGCTATTGGTAAAAATTGATCAAAACCATAAAAAAAATGGCAACAATAAGCATAGTTCAGATTTGAATGCTAGTTAATAAAGTTAAATTTCAATCCCATCTCCTTGCAGTCAATCAAAACCAGTAATATCTGCATTTGATCACTCAAAAATGTTTGAAAATGCCATGTACAGTTGCAAGAAAAAGTATGTGAACCCCTTGGGATTACGTGGAGTTTTGCATGAATTGGGCATAAAATGTGCTCTGAACATCATCTAAGTCACAACAGTAGAAGAACACAGTCTGCTGAACGTATTACTACACAAACATTAGATGTTGCCATGGTTTAATTGCACATAACATGTAAACATTCACAGTGCAGGGAGAGTATGTGAACCTTTGGACTTAATAACTGGTTGACCCTCCTTTGGCAGCAATAACCTCAACCAAAACGTTTCCTGTAGTTGCAGATCAGACCTGCACAACGATCTGGAGTAATTTTGGACCACTCCTCTTCACAAAACTGTTTCAGTGTAGCAATATTCTTGGGATGTCTGGTGTGAATCGCTCTCTTAAGGTCATGCCACAGCATTTCAATCGGGTTGAGGTCAGGACTCTGACTGGGCCACTCCAGAAGGCGTATTCTGTGCTGTTGCAGCCATTGTTTTGTTGAATTACTTGTATGCTTTGGGTCATTGTCCTGTTGCATCATCCATCCTCTGTGGAGCTTCAGTTGGCAGACAGATGGTCGTACGTTTTCCTGCAAAATGTCTTGATAAACTCTGGAATTCATTTTCCCATCAATGACAACAATCCGTCCAGGCCCTGAAGTGGCAAAGCAGCCCCAAACCATGATGCTCCCTCCGCCATGTTTCACAGTGGGGATGAGGTTTTGATGTTGGTGTGCTGTGCCTTTTTTTCTCCACACATAGTGTTGTGTGTTCTTTCCAAACAACTCAATCTTGGTTTCATCTGTCCACAGTATATTTTGCCAGTAGTGCTGTGGAACATCCAGGTGCTCTTTTGCAAACTTCAAACGTGCTGCAATATTCTTTTTGGACAGCAATGGTTTCCTCCGTGGTGTCCACCCATGTACTCCATTCTTGTTTAATGTTTTCCTTATTGTAGATGTGTCAACAGAAATGTTAGCATGTGCCAGAGATTTCTGTAGGTCTTTAGCTGACACTCTGGGATTCTTCTTTACCTCATGCAGCATTCTGCGTTGTGCTCTTGCAGTCATTTATACAGGACAACCACGCCTAGGGAGAGTAGCAACAGTGCTAAACTTTCTCCATTTGTAGACAGTCTGTCTTACCGTGGACACATGAACATCAAGGCTTTTGGAGATACTTTTGTAACCCTTTCCAGCTTCATGTAAGTCAACAATTCTGGATCGTAGGTCTTCTAAGAGCTCCCTTCTGCGAGGCATGGTTCACATCAGACAGTGCTTCTTGAAACCAGTAAACCCAAAACAGGTGTGTGTTTTTTAAGGGCAGGACAGCTGTCAGCAACACATCCAATATCATCACACTGATTGGAGTCAAGGTTGGCTCACTCCTAGCTCCAATTAGCTCTGGGAGAAGTCATTAAACTAGGGTCTCACATACTTTTTCCTCCCTGCACTGTGAATGTTTACATGTTATGTGCAATCAAAACCATGGCAACATCTAATGTTTGTGTAGTATTATGTTCAGCAGACTGTGTTCTTCTATTGTTGTGACTTAGATGACGTTCAGAGCACATTTTATGCCCAATTCATGCAAAACTCCACGTAATCCCAAGGGGTTCACATACTTTTTCTTGCAACTGTATATGGTAAAGCTAAGGGAGACTCAAAATGTATTTCTATCCCAGCACAAACACTGGTAGAAAAACAAAGTAGTGTAAAATGTGACCATTTTCAGTGTAAAAGAACATAATCTCTTCAGTAACTAATAGTAGTCTCAAGTTCAGAAAGTGATTTGTCATTGTTGTTAGTAGGTCAAAGTATAACATACTTATATGTATTTGGCTGGCTTGCGTGACTTTATCAATTTCGGTGTCAGCTTTGCTTTAGAGGTTGTGCAATAAATAGATTACCACACCAGGGAAAGCGTGCCAGAAAAAAGGCAGTACCGGTGTGTAATCCTCCCCCTCCTAGTGCTTCTTTTATAAAGGAATTGCCTGTAAAAACTCTGTCAGTCTCTGAGCTTATACTCAATAGGAAAAATGTCGACTGGTGAAGAGCAACAAACAAAGAGGGAGAAATTAATAGCACAAATAAATAAATGGGCAGAACAAGCCAGCAAAATGACACCAGAAGAGCTGAAATTTAGTTATAAGGGAATTCTGTACCCTACTGTTCTCTGCAGCAAGGAAACTTTTCAAGCAATGGAGAAATTAGAGGCTAGAGAAGATGATGTGCTAATTCTAACCTATCCAAAATGTGGTAAGTGTATTGAATGTGAGAGTTTTGTTTTGTTAAATGGAAATCTGTTTTCTTGTTGAACTTCAGAAAAACAGCTAAATACATCATTGAAAGTACATACGGAGAGCACTATCCTTTGCCTCTTTCCATATGTGATTTGGATCAAGTGGAATCTAAATTGTCCGAGATTGTTTGGAGTCTTCATTTATATGTCCCAGAGGGGAGATCCAATGTTTGACCTGTTAATTCAGAGGTCATACCCTGAGGTGATTGGCAGTGATTTTGTTGGTGAAGGGGACTGCACACCATCCACAATTGGAGATTTATGCAAATTATACCTTCCATCACTGATTGCTTCCTGTTATCCTGCCATGATATCTCTCTTTGTGTTCCCCTGTGGACTTTTTTTTATCTTCGCGCTGCACTATGTTTGGATATATATGTTCTTGGATAATGTGGAATTTGCCTTAGTGTTCAGCTTGCAATTAATAGGTTTTGCTTTCAGTCTGTTTGCACTGATTTGTTTTTTCTTTACTTGAAAATACATACTGTATATGGAGGTGCTTTATCTGCTAAAAGGGTTTGTATTATTGTCTATCCAGTACAGAGATTTACACAGCATAGTAAGATTGCACATCCATGTCAGTGACCTGACTTACACTATATTGCCAAAAGTATTGGGATGCCTGCCTTTTCCAGCACGTGAACTTTACTGGCATCCCAGTCATAGTCTGTAGGGTTCAGAATTGAGTTGGCCCACCGTTTGCAGCTATACCAGCTTCAACTCTTCTGGGAAGACTGTCCACAAGGTTCAGGAGTGTGTCTTTGGGAATATTTCACCATTCTTCCAGAAGCACATTTGTGAGGTCAGGCACTGATGTCGGGTGAGAAGGTCTGGCTCGCAGTCTCTGCTCTAACTCATCCCAAAGGTGTTCTATCAGGTGCAGGCCAGTTAAGTTCCTCCACCACAAACTCACTCATCCATGTCTTTATGGTCCTTGCTTTGTGCACTGGTGCACAGTCATGTTGGAACAGGAAAGGGCCATCCCCAAACTGCTCCTACAAAGTTGGGAGCATAAAATTGTCCAAAATGTCTTGGTATGCTGGCACCTTAAGAGTTCCCTTTGCTGGAACTAAGGGGCCAAACCCAACCCCTGAAAAACAACCCCACACCATAATCCCCCCTCCACCAAACTTTACACTTGGCACAATGCAGTCAGGCAAGTACCGTTCCCCTGGCAACTGCCAAACCCAGACACATTCATCAATTGCCAGACAGAGAAGCATGATTGGTCACTCCAGAAAATACATCTCCACTGCTCTAGAGTTCAGTAGCGGCGTGCTTTACACCACTGCATCCAACGCTTTGCATTGCACTTGGTGGTGTAAGGCTTGGATTCAGCTGCTCGGCCATGGAAACCCATTCCATGAAGCTCCCAATGCACTGTTGTTGTGCTAATATGAAGGCCACACAAAGTTTGGAGGTTGTTAGCTATTGACTCTGCAGACAGTTAGCGACTTCTGCGCTTCAGCATGCGCTGACCCCGCTCTGTCATTTTACGTGGCCTACCACTTCGTGGCTGAGAGGCTGCTGTTCCCAGTTGCTTCCACTTTGTTATAATACCACTAACAGTTGATCGTGGAAAATTTAGTAGCAAGGCAGTTTAAGAGATGGACTTATTGCACAGGTGGCAACCTATCACGGTAGCACGCTTGCATTGACTGAGATCCTGGGAGCGACCCATTCTTTCACAAATGTTTGTAGAACCAGTCTGCGTGCCTAGGTGCTTGATTTTATACACCTGTGGCCATTGAGGTGATTGGAACACCGGAATCCAATGATTTGGAGGGGTGTCCCAACACTTTTGGTAATATAGTGTATTTCTATCAACGTTAATCTATTAAACTATGTTACCTCCCTGCTCCCAACCTGACAGGGAAGGAGTAGCAGTATCTCAGTAGCATCATTTGTCATCATATGTGCACTGCAGGAGATATGATTGGCTAATAGTGAATCACCTCCCTCTGCCAGTCTAAGTGCTGCTGTGCAGGGGATAACCAGTGGGTGATATCAGATAAAGTGTTCCTTTACTTACCATGTTCAGATGGGAGCACATACTTCGTTATCTCCTTTTCCCACAATCCATTGCTCTTATCAGCTCCTATTTGTACAGCTTTCTGATCTGTTCAATATAGTACTGTTCTGAATGTTCTCCCTTTTGCTATTTTGACCCTATTGTCATTGTTAATTCTACTCTGCGTTTATTAAAGTTAAAGCTACCCTTTGACTGATCATTTGGTCGATTCCTTGTACCTGGTACAGGTGTATTTTTAAAAAAAATCTTTCTTTTTTTAATGAATGCATAACTGTAGTAATTGATTTTGTATTATATATGCATTGGGGCTCAGCTTTAAAGTATTCATTTTATTTTTGTATAGAGTGGGGAAGTGATGAAACCCCTGCCTGATTTTTATTGCCAGTGTATCCAATGGGGACATGAACCTTCTGAACTTATCTTGTTGAAAATTGCCACAAGGATAGAAAGTGGTGTGAAATGCCACCTAAACAGGAAGGACAGGAAAATTTGGGGACACATTCTGGTTACAAATGTCTAAGACAGTGAACAATTAATATGTACATCATGCAATAAATGTAAAAAATAATGCAAAAATGTAATTAGTTTGACTACAGTTAAAACTGTCACCTAAAATTTCTTAATAAACACAGGGGTTGATTAATAGACTGTGCACTTTGCAAAGTGCAATTGCTCCAGAGCTTAGTAAATGAGCAAACTTTTTGCTGACTTCCATCATCCAATCATGCACACGCAAAAATGCAGTTTTCTTTTTCCTTGCATGTGATTGGGTATTCTTTACAAAGTGAAGTGTTACCTCATTTGCTAAGCTTTAGAGCAACTTCACTTGCAGGATGGCAATTCCACTTTGCATAATGCACAGTCTATTTGCCTTTAGTAAATCAACCCCATAGAATGCAAAAAAACCCGTCCTTTAATTTGTTGCCCATAACAACCAATTAGGTTACTTGTATAATTTTCAGTGCTACTGTAGCACTACAGCCATAGGAGTTGCTGAAACAACAGAGGACAAACTTCCTGGAACAATAAACAAGTCTCTTTACAGCACAAAATCCTCTTCTGGAGAACTAGCCAGTTGTACCACCACAGACCCCATACACTCCTCTATTCAGCCGTTCTGGGTAAATCCTTGAGCAGGGGATCCAGTGCCTGTCGCTTCAAGGGTAAGACAGTCCCAGGTAGCAGCTAATCTAGTTTCCCACCAGATTGCTCCTTCCCCTTACAGGCTCATGGGGTGCAGGTCTATTCACTCAGTCCTTCTACTATGCTGCTGATGGGTCAGTGGCTGCTGCCAGGCCTTCTATCTGGGACACTCATTCCCTGCTGCATAGGTGGTCCCTATTCTGGGGACCAGTGAAGTCCTAAGTTTTCCTCCTTCCAAGTTTCCTTCTGCCTGTAGGTGAGCCCCTCTCCATCAGGGCCCCCTCCCAGGCTCCTGCTCTTTAGCCACTCACTTCCTCTCCATCTTCCACTCAAACTCTCCTGCTACTGAACAGGCTCTGTCACTTTTAAGCACTGTCCTGGCCCCATGCCAAGCCTCCTGCAGCAGATTGGCCAGGATCCTTCAAATGTGTGGATCAGCCACTCCTTACCTCCGCTCACTGCTTCTAGAACTTTCTCCAAAGTTCCATTGCAGGGGGAAGTCTCAGAGAGCTGGTCTGCAGAGACTCTCAGCCCTGACCTGAATTTTACCTCCCTCTGACTATTATGCAGGCTGCTACTCAGCCTCTGACTAACGAATTAGAACCCTAACTCCCCCTAGCTACCTAGGAGGGTGCTGCACTACACTGCAGAAATGACAGGCAGAATTCAACTGGTTGCAGGTTTAGGAAACTTTTCATACATATGCCCCTTGAAGCAACTCTGTCCCCCCTGTATAAAAATTGAAAGGAAAATCATTCTGTGAAAGAACGACCCACATACTTACCTGCCCTGTTGGCGGTATGTTGATACTTGACTGTCAGTTTTGGGTTTCCTCGACACATACAATCTTTACACTGTACAACGCACTATATTTTTCTCTCTGTATTTGCTACATACATAGGTATGAGTGCTCTGTAAGTTCTGATATTAGGCTCGTTCATACTGTGCTGTGACCCTAAAGTTGTGCAACTTGTTTGCAAATTTCTTGCGACTTTTGTGATTTAACATTGCAGTTTATGCACTCAAGTCACATCAAAGTCGCAGAAAAGTAGTGCAGGAACCTTTTTTTTTATCTCTGCAACTTGAATTGCATTGAATAAGAGAGCACTTATTGAAATTAATGTGTTTTGACTTGTCATGTGACTTTATGTGTCTCAAGTCACATGATAAGTTTCAGCAGTGGGAATTGGGGCTTACCAGCATGTTATTGTATACTGTAAACAATCTGCAAATTGAGGTATATGAACATGAATAACCTTCTTCTTTTACTATCAGTCATCTACTATCAAAAGTTAACCCATTTACTGAATGGAAATTAATCTGAAATAATATCTGCTTTAAACAATACGAGAGATTCCTCTGGGGGTCTCTGTGATTTTTAGCTCAGATCAGAGCCACTGCAGTAAGCGACAGTTGCTAGGACGTGTCCCGATGCTCGCTGTGTATAGAACGATCTCCTACACTTCACCAGGACTGAATAGCCGCCTTGTGTAGAGTCCTGGAGAAGTGCAGGAGTTCGCTCTGATCTGAGCTAAAGATCACAGAGACCCCCAGAGGAAGCGTGGCTGCAGAGGAGGCTTGTGTCCAGAGGAGGGATCCTTGTTCCAGGATGGCTGACAGATCTACCTAAAGGGGCTCCCTACTGAGTCTTATTCTGCTTAATGGACATATTTTATGTGCATCTGGTGAGTGTGCATTTTATACAGTATCACACGGTTTGAATCGCACGGATCTTTACCGGAAGTCACAAATGTGAATGAAGCACTAATTTGCTGACCTGAC